TTGCTGAACAATCATTAACAGCCTGGGTTGATTCTTAGAACCCATGTAAAGGTAGGAGAAAAGCTGCCACAAAGTTGTCCTCTAACCTTCACATACACTTCCCCTCCCCCCAATAATAAAGAAAGAACTTAAAAATAGTAAAGTGCTTGGAGTCCTGAGCCAGATTGCCTGCATTATAGTCAAGCTTCTGCTATTATACTCTGGAAAAACTTTTATTCACACTGTATGCCTCAGTTTCTCATCTGTAAAGCAGTAATGAGTTACTAAGCTCAGAAGACTGTTACAAGCAAATATATATAAAGTATTTAGATCCTGCCCAGTACAGAGGAAGCATACCCTGAGTGGTAGAAATAATGCTTAGGGAAAAGCAAGAGGTGGATCAGAACATATGATGAAATTTATTTAAATTTTTAAAATGGTTAGGCTGGGCAAAGTGGCATGCAGCCATTGCTAAGGAACAGAGAGGCAGATTAATGCTGAGTTCACAGACAGCCTGGGCCATAGTGAGAACCTGTCTCCAAAAGAAAGGATGTGAAGTGTGAGGCTCTATACCGGTACTCTATAAACCATGCCACTACCTCTGTGATCTTCATCACGTCTAAAACTCTGACAAAGAAACAGCACATTTTTAGATCCTTCCTCTGTAATGCTGGAGATTAAATCCTTACATTTCAATAAAAGGTAAATGATTCAACGTAAAGATCTATCTTCATTACCTGGTAGCCATCCACATTCACTCTGTGAGTCTTTGTATACCTCTTTTTGCTTCTGTTACTTTAAGATTCTGTTCTTTTAAATTGCTTAAAATACCTAAAAAACAAACCAATGATGGTGACAGACAGGAGCATTGCTAATTTTTGGTTTTTGAGACAAGATATCTTTAGTTAACTCTGGCTGTCCTGGAGCTTCCTATGCAGACCAGGCTGGCCTTGAAATCACAGAGATCCCTCTACCTCTCCCTCATGAGTGTTGGGACCAAAGATGTGTGCCACCATACCCTGCTCCATTGCTATTGCTGTTATTGGCAATTCTGCTCCCTCTGAACTTTGGGGGCAATGTCTCTTTTGAAATCCAAAACTCTGGAACTACTCTGTTATGTAATTATACTTCCCAAAACACTAGAGGCCTTAGGCACACAGCCCTCAAGACCACCTAATAGTAATGCCTACCTTATTCTATTTCAATTAAGAAACTTAAAAGTTGAGAAATAAGAATAAAGTGAATTTAAGCAACTCATATGAGTTAACATGGTCCTAGGAATAACTTTGCTTAGGAATCTGCTCTTCTATTAACTTTCTTTACTATTCATTCTACTCACTAACTCTCAGGCTCAAGCTTCCTTCTCCTAAAATAACCACATCTTTTAACGCTACTGCTATCTGTCATTCAGTTTTCAAACCAAAGGAACTAATGTGAAGTCTCTAATAATGTTCCATTCAAGGGCTTTCCCACACAGTCAAGAGCATCTTGTAGATGTTTTTCTACCCAATTCCAAAAGAAAATCAGTCTATAAAGCAAACTTAGTCTAAATCCCCTTATCGTCATTAAAAACGCACACCCTTCAAGATAGTTGATAAAAAGACTGTTTCTTGAAAATAGTTATATATATGTGATAGATTTAGTCTTATTAGAATGCCTTACTTCTTACCTATCCTTTGGTGGGCATCAAATTTACTAATATGTAGGTATGTGCACATATGTAAAGGTCTCATCAGAGAGGAGAAGAGGGCATGAGGGACTGGAGTTGGCTCAGCGATCAAGAGCACTTGTTTTTGCAGAAACCTGGGTTTCATTCCCAGCACCCACATGGGCTGGTCAAAATACCTGTAACTCAAGTCTCAGAGGACCCAATGCCTTCTTCTGACCTCAGTAGACACAGGCACAGATGTGTATATATATGTATATACATGCAAAAGGCTCATAAAAGTATACATTTTAAAAAAGAAGAAGAAAAAAGAGGACACTGAATCCCCCAGAGCTGGAGTTACAGGTGGTTGTGGAGCCTGTAAAACTCAGGAGTGCTGGGAATTGCTTTCATCCTCTGGAAGAGCAGTATACGTATAGTTCTTAACTGGAAAGCCATCTCTCCAGTACAAATTCAAGGTATTTGCATATATCCTATATAACTAAACTTCGGCCACAACATACTATATTCATACTTTATATATTATAGAGATATAGGAGTGAGGCATGATGATGCATACCTGTAATCTCAGAAGATCTCAGGAGTTCAAAGCCAGCCTCAACTTGTACTGAAACATAGCAAGTTTAAGGCTAACTTGGGTTACACGAGACCTGTCTTAAGAAACAATGCTGGGCATGGTGACATATACTTTTAATCTCAGCACTTAGGATTCAGAGGCAAGCAGATCTCTGAATTCCAAGCCAGTCAATGCTACATAGTAAGTGGGCCAGGAATGAAACTCAGTCACAAAGTTTGCCTAATATTGCTCAGGCCCTGTGTTCAAGTCTCCAGTACCACTGAGAGAGACAGAGATTTTTAGTCTAATAATACTTTAAAATAATTTTAATTCATTAACTGAAGTTACTAAATATCATTTTACCATATCTTATTAAAAAGAAAAACAAAGACCGGACATGTGTATGCAAGGCTATAATCCCAGTACTCAGGAGGCTGAGACAGTTGGAGAGCTTTCAGTTCAAGGTTGGCCAGAGCTACACAGCAAGACCCTGTCTGTCTCAAAAATCAAAAAGCATGAAAATCTTTCTTGTGGTGCATATTTACTATGAGAATATTTTAGTGTATGGTTATTAAATGGTTCAGAGACAGTCTCTTAAAGAAAAGCCCATTTTAAGAACTTAAGCATACTGTGAATTACTTTTTGCATGACCAAATCATAAAAGGCCCGAAGTATATTTATAGACTAATTTTAAAAATTTAAAGTTGGTAATAATTATAACTAAATTTCATATTAACCTATTAATCAGTCATTTTTATTTTATGGTATATAAGTACTTGAAATAATGTTGCTGCATATTCTTTTCATTCTGTATTTATTCAGTCAACAAACTTTGGGTGTTATGATATTTAAGTATAAAAATCCTTTCCAAAAGTGCAAAGAACATAAAAGATGTGTGCATAAAATACACTCAGTGGGATCAATGATACAGCTAACCTGGTAAAAATGCTTGCTACCATGTCTGATGATCTGAGTTCAATTCCCAGGACCCAGAGTGGAAAATTGATATCTACGTGTTGTCCACCAACCTCCACAACTGCATGCACTCCCAATCAACATAAATAAATGCAATAAAAGCAAGTTACACTCAGTGGTTCTCAAAGTGTCTGAAATAAGTCTTAAGAACACTTAACCTGGATGGAAATAAAACTCCAGTGAGCTCTTTGTCACACTGAAACATTCTGCAATGTAAACTGGTACCTAAATCCTCAATGAATTTTTAAAAATTTTTAATGAGCTGGGCACAGTGGCATAAGACTTTAATCCCAGCACTAGGGAAGCAGAGGCAAGAAGATCTCTGAGTTGAAAGACAGCCTGGTCTACAAAGTGAGTTCCTGGACAGCTAGGGCTACACAGAGAAACCCTGTGTCAAAAAACAAAAACAAAAACACAGCCAGGTGGGTCCGTCTATAATCCCAGTGCTTGGGAGGCAGAGGCAGGACCATCTCTGTGAGTTCAGAGCCAGCCTGGTCTACAATGTAAGTTCTAGGACAGCCAGAACTAGTCACTGAGAAACCCTGTCTCAAAAAACAAACAAACAAAGGAAAGGCTAAGTGGAAAAGATCAACAGCCTTAAGTTTGCAAATAAACACAAGAGAAATCCTAACCTTAGCCTGTTCAAATATTCCTTCACCAATATGAAGGTCAAAATAAACTAGTAAGCTAAGTATTTCTGTCTCCAAAGCAATTTATCAAAAGGAGGGAAAGAAATGTAGTAAAATGTAAACACTATTAAGAACCATCAAATATTAGGGGTAGGAAGACTCTCCTAAAATTGCAAGATATCAATTTTGCAATAATTCTTTTCACTTTTGCTGTTTTTGATGAAAACCTTTTAAAAATCATAAAATGCTTTCCCCAAGTGATTTACTTGGAGATTTGTTAAAAAAAAATAAATAAAATGTAACAGAAAAAAATTAATTGTATTTCGAAGAAACAAAATTGTTCAAACCAGCTTGGCAAAACTGTGCATATTTTAATCTTTTTCGGATTATCCCGTTAATTCTAATCAGCAACATTTAAAAGTCATTCTAAGTTATGCATGGTGCTGCATGCTTGTATTTCCCGACATTCAAGTGACTGAGGCAGGAGAATAGCAACGGTGGCTTCAGGACAGTGTGATCCTTTCTCAAAATAAAAGTCATTGTAGTATGTGCCTAAAACATCTTCACTATACACAACATACTCATCTTTTACACAAAACTTAAAGTAGAACCAAACTCTGGCCATTTTCCCCCTGCTGGGCATACTTCATGAAATACACGAGGGGGGAAAAAATCAAGAAATCACATAGGTTAAGTGCTGGTACCTTCCTCTTCCAGAGTAGGGTCAAATGCGTGTCTACCCGCAAATGTCACTGTCGCCTCCAGAAGGCTGCCAATTCTCTTTAACTATACGGAGTACAAAGAGGCCTGAGCACCGAAAACACCTGTCCTGAACAACCGGAGGCTGGTGGGGAAAGCCACCCGCGAGAGCGCACATCCGGCCACTGCCCCGGGGCAGCAGAGGTCCGAGGACCCCGGAGACGGACACTGGCTTCGCCGATCCCTGTACCGGGGTCTTCGTACGCCTCGCACAGCGACAACAAGGAGACAAGTCACGCCGGCCAGGACGCGCCCGCGCCCTCCCAGCTGCACCGTGCCACCTCATCCCGGCGGCCTGCCCTCGGCCGCCGCCCCCCGGTCGCCACCGTCCGTGTCGCGGCGGCCCGGGCCGCGCTCCCTCAGGCCAGAGCTCCCCGCGCGCTCCCCGCCCCCCGCCGCCACCCGCGTCGCGCTCCCCTCTCTCAAGCCGGGCTACCTGGAGGCCAGGGCGGCGGAGCACTTCACCCAGGGCCCCAGGTCGCAGAGGGCCCGGTGCTCCGGGTCCCTCTCCTTCTCCCGCTCCACGTGGTAGGCGTAGATGGAGAGCAGGATCCCGGCGGCGCACACTGCATACCGGGCCACCCGTTCCCACCGCGGCACCGACACTCTCAGCAGGACGGGCGCCGCCATCTTCCCCCCTCCGCCGCCGCCGCCGCCGCCGCCGCCGCCTCCCTCCGCCTCCACCTCAGACGCCGCCGCCCGTCGGGGCCCGACCCAGCCGCCACCGCTGCCGCCACCGCCTCCGCCGCCGCCGCCGCCGCCACCGCCACCGCCGCGCCCCATTGGCTCGGTCGCCTCCTCCGGGCCCCGCCCCCACAGGCGCGCGGCCCAACCGCCCCGAGAGGAGTGAGGCGCGCGCGGGCACGGAGGGAGGGGCGGAGCGCGCAACCGCCAGGGAGGCGGTGCGGCGCATGCGGAGGGCGGAGTCTGAGGGAGGGAAGGGTCTGAGAAAGGGCGGGGCTTGGCCCGAATTGGGGCGGGGCTTGGAGAGAACACATTCGTGAGGAGGGAGGAGGCGGAGCGCACAACAGCAGGGAGGCGGTGCGACGCATGCGGCGGGCGTGGCTTAAGGAGCGGGCGTGGTTCAATTTAAAAGGGGCGGTGTGGGGGCAGAAGCGCGCGGGCGGGGAAGAGGCGGAGGCTCAACCAGCCAGGGATGCGTGGCGCAAGTGGAGGGCGGGACTGAGGAATAGGATTCATTAGACTGGAGGGCGCGGTCAAAGGGGCGGGGTCAAAGTGGGTCGGAGAAGGCGGGAGCGGAGGGAAGGGGTGGGGCGCAAAGTCTGGTGTGTTGTTGGAAGGGAGCAGAGGCGCGATCAGGGGAGTTGAGGGGTGTGGCCGGGAAAGGGGTGAGACGCGAGGTGGCTTGGTTTAGCCTTGGGGGGGGTGTTGCAAGGGATCGATTTCAAAGGTGCTATTACTGGGTGAGCACTTAGCCCCTGGTAGCAGTCAGTTGCCCTTTTCCCCCTCTTTTTCGTCGTTGTCACTTGATATTTCTTATCCAATCCAAATTATCCCTGACCAATGGCTCCAGAGCTCCAGAGACACGTTTGCATGACATGATCTTCCCCAGGCACCACCTCCAGTCATCATGTGTTCAACATGTGAAAAACTTTTTTCTTAAATATGCAAAACTATTTTTATATTAAGAAACTATTTTTAAATGTGTTCATGAATACTTATCTATAATTTGGATTTGATATAGCTTTAACATAATTTGTACAAAAATGGTAAAAATGAACGAAAAAGAAATCAAGACATGGAAAAGGACAAACCAAAAGGAAACGAAAGGGGAGACGTGAGAAGGCCGATAAGCAGGCCATAAGAGCTTGCACAACTATTAAAATTGAGCCATAACTGACTCTGAGCTTCCTAGTGGCCAAAATTGGAAAGGAAAACACATGTAAGGGCATCTGTGTCTATGAAGAAACAAACTGTTTATGGAGATTGCTAGCTTTTACCCAGTGCAGCGCTCAGGCTTTGGGGGGTGCTATATAGTGATTTTGATTTATAAGTAATGTTTTTCAATTAATTATACAATGTTAAGGTAATAAATCACCCTAATCTTTTGCAGATTTAAACAAGCAAAAAAGAAAGTAGAGTGTCCCCCCCACTCCCCTCACCCCCGGTTTTTCTGGGTCAGGAATCCGGATACAATTTAGTGCGAACCTCCAGCTCCGAGTGTCCCCAACTTTCCCACTCATCTTTGTCTTCCTCTCCTCTGCCTTGGATCAAATTAAGATGTGAGGCAGGGCCTGAGAGGCAGGACTGTAGTTATCTCAATCCCTGAAATCCTCTTTCAGCTTCACTCCTATGGCAGTTAGCAGGTGGCAGGTCCTCTCTGGCTGCTTGGCAGTAACAACAGTTCCAATTTACACCTCCAGAAAATGCACCTGGCTTTCCCCCACCCCATAGTAAGGGATCAAAGAGAAGGGAGATATAGTTAAACATTAGAGCACTTGGGTAATATATGTGAGTCTCTGGGTTAAACCTCCTCAGAAGGAGAGAGAGAATGGATGAAATCAGAGTCTTTAAACATTACATTATTGAGCCAGGGGTTGGTGGCTCATACCTTTAATCCCAGCACTCAAGAGGCAGAGGCAGGCAGATCTCTGTGAGTTCGGGGCCAGCCTGGTCTGTAGAGCGAGTTCCAAGACAGGCTCCAAAACAATATAGAGAAACACTGTCTCAAAAAAAATGTATGTATGTATGAATATATGTATATATATATGTATGTATGTATATATGTGTATGTATACACACACACACACACACATATATATGGAAGGAAATATTTGGAATAAAGGAAAGAACATCATAGGATTTAAGTTCATCTGCTTGCTACTTGAAAGCTAATACTTCAGAGAAATTTGGTTGGATGAAGTCAGGGTTAAGAGCAGAGCCCAGCAAGGCAGTGGTGGCACAAATACCAGGACTCCAGAGGCAGAGGTAGGTGGATCTGTGAATTCAAGGCTGGCCCGGTCTATAACAGCTAGCTCCTGGACAGCTAGCTATGTCTACACAGAGAAACCCTGCCTCAACAACACCCCCCCCCAAAAAAAAGATCAGAGCCCAAGTGGTGGTGGCACACGCCTTTAATCCCAGCACTTGGGAGGCAAAGGCAGGTACAGCTCTCTGAGTTCGAAGCCAGCCTGGTCTACAGAACGAGTTCTAGGACAGGCTCCAAAGCTACACAGAGAAATCCTGTCTTGAAAAACAAAACAAAAATAAACAAAAAGAGGAGAGAATAACACCCTGGTCTACAGATCAAGTGCCAGAACTGTTGGGAATGTTTGAGACAGAAAATCCTGTCTCAAAAAAGCGGGGTGGGGGGTGGGGTGGGGAGGCAGATTAAGAGATTAAGAAGGTGCCACTGTCCCCCTGAAAATACCATCTGAAAAAAGTCAGGTTTAAAGGAGAAAGGGAAAGGAGCAGTGGGCGGAAAACCTACAAGATACTAAGGTATCTCTCTCGCTGGGCATTCTCCCACTCCATACCATCCAGAAAATCTTTAGGTAAAGACACTGCTTTTCTATAGGTTAAATTCTATGAAGGACCAGTCAATTCCTCTAAAGAGCCAAAAAGTGCTATTTCAAAAGCAGGAGACCAGGGCTGGGGCATAGTCAGCAGTGAAGTGCTTGGCTAGCAGGCAGAAGCTGAGAACTACAGCACAGCCGACAGCTTCCAAAGTCCTTCCACTTTTCTTCCTTCGTCTCCTTTTCTTCTTAAATCAGGTCTCACATATCCTAAGGCTGGCCTTGAACTCGCATATAGCTGTCTGCCTCCACCTCTCCAGTGTTGGGATTACAGGTATGCACTTCCTTCCCCAGATTATGTAATGCTGGGAATTGGAGTGAGGGCTTCCTGCACACTAAGGAAACACTCTACAAACCAAGGCTCATCCTAAACCCCCAGTTCCCTGTTTCATTGACACTGGGAGATGTGCAGTATTTTCTGACAAACTCAGCTTTGTATTTTAAAGTTGTCTTCTTTACCTTAGAATACTTTATCCAATGTCCCTGTGTTTGTTCAAAGAAAGAGATTGCTGCTGGCTCAACTCCCTGCTCCCCGAGCAAAACTCCCAGACATTTCCTGCAAGCTTCTTCAACAACCTCAGACTTGATATTCTGAATTAGAATGCTGTGCTTTTCCCCATCGTTTTGGAAACAATCCCAGCAATGATTGAGCAGGAGCTTTGAGGTGTAACAAAAGCCTGGCTAGAAAGCTTTAGAATAGAGTCTGAATGCCCAAGACCCCCTCAGGTCCCTCTGGGAAAACACCTATGGAGAGGAAACAGGTGTTATTTTCGCATTTGAAAGATAATGGGCTCTGTTATCATTTCATTAGTGTGAGTACAGTTCATATGTTATATTTAAACTTGGGAGAGCTAAAACAGGAAGATTTCAAGGGGCAGCCTGGACTACACTGAGGGACCCTGTTTCTTAAACGTTTAAAACCCTGTGCCTTGAGCCAGGCTGTGTTGGTGCATGCCTTTAATCCCAGGACTCAGGAAGCAGAGATAAACTGACCTCTGTTTGAGGTAGGTATGCAGATCTCTGAGTAGGAGACTAGCCTGACCTACAGAGCAAGTTCCAGGACAGCCAGGGCTACACACAGAAACCCTGTCTCAAAAAGAAAGGAAGGAAGGGAGGGAGGGAGGGAGGGAGGGAGGGAGGGAGGAAGGAAGGAAGGAAGGAAGGAAGGAAGGAAGGAAGGAAGAATGAGATTTAGGATTTTACCACCATATAACCAAATACCTTATTTATCTTGGGTTTTTTGTTTGTTTGTTTCTATAGTATCTATCCCATGCTATAAGTCCCTCAGGTGAGAGTTTTCCCTCTATTTCATTAACTACCACATGGGTCAGAAAGACAGGATCTGGCCAAAGGGTAGGGACCTAGTAAGTAGATTTTGAGTGAATGAATGACTGAGTGAATGGTTCCTTTAAAAGATTAGCTTATAAGCAAATAATATTTGAAATGCTGAATAAGGTGGTTCCCAACTGTAATCCCAGATAGTGTCCCATTGCTTAAGAGTGTGTGTCCCGCAAGCTGCTTGCTCCTTCTACCCCTTTGTCTCCATCTATAAATTAAGAGGGCTGTACTACTGACCTGGAGGGCTTAAAAGGGATTAAATGCATGGCGCCTGGCACGTGGGAGTGTTTAGTAAATACTCCCTATTGTTACCTTAATCCTTTCCATGGGTGAAAATGAAACACAGCACTGGGTGAGATTAAAACCTTCCAGAACCAATGGCCTAAAATAAACACTCAAAATTTAATTCATCTGTATTTCAACAACTATGAAATACATAATTTAAAATATGATACCAATTGGGCCTTGGTGGCACACACCTTTAATCCCAGCACTCAGGAGGCAGAGGCAGGCAGATCTTTGTGAATTCAAAGCCAGCCTGGTCTACAGAGCAAGTTCCTGGACAGCCAGGGTTGTTACACAGAGAAACCCTGTGTAACATAAAATGAATGAATAGATAAATAAATAAAATGTGATTTTTAGGGGAGAGGTCTAGAAATGTGTATTTTTTAGCAAAGTTCTCTTGGTAGTTTTTTGTTTGTTTTGCTTTGTTTTGTTTTTTCTGTGTGTGTGTGTGTGTGTGTGTGTGTGTTTTGTTTTTGTTTTGCTCATTAGAGACAGAGTTTCTCTTTGTAATAGCCTTGACTATCCTGGAATGCTCTTTGTAGAGCAGGCTGGCCTTAAACTCACAAAGATCCATCTGTCTCTGTCTCCCAAATGCCAAGATTAAAGGGCATATACCACTATGCCTGGGTGCCCTAGGTA